TATTTTGTTGGGTAGCCATTACTAGCTATGACTGCTGCAACTCGACGTGGCATACTATCAATGAGATTTTTGTATTTACTTTCATCAATTTGCAGTCACTCATTCTGGAGTATTTGCCATAATTCTTCACAATTTTTGGGTAATGGTTCATGTATTTGAACTCATCTTTCTAATTCATCCCATAAAGTTCTATGGGATTCAAGTCAGGGCTCTGGGTGGGCCACGGAATACTACTTATATTATTTTCTATCTTCCATTTTTTAGTTTTGCTTGCTGTATGGACAGGTGCATTATCTTCCTGAAAAACATAATCCTTCTTATTATCTAGAGTAACTAGGAATGGTAATAAATGATTTTTTAGCACATCTATATACATATTGGCTGTTAGTCTCTCTTCCAATCTAACTAATGGACCAAGACCATTTTTTGTGAAACAACCCCACACTATTACTTCTTTTTGACCTGATTTAAATGTTGGAATAAGGCATCCAACATCATATTTTTTGTGAGGTTGTCTCCAAACATATTTCTTACCATCTCCTCTGAATAATTCAAACCTAGATTCATCACTCCAAATAATGATTTCCCATTCTTTTTCCCATGTTTGCCATTCCCAAACCCAGAGAAGTCTCTTTTGCCAATTAACTTCATTCACAAGCAGTTTTCTGGTTCCAATCTGACCAAAGAAATCTTGTTCATGTAAGTAACGTTGAATGGTAATCATACTTACATTAGTTAAGGTAGAGGTAACAAATTTTTCACGTAATTCTTGAAGATTTGTGTGTCGATTTTCTTTAAGAATTCTTTGTAAATGACGACTATCTCTTTCTGTCATTATATGTGGTCTGCCACTTCGGGGAGGGGGTTTTTCACAATTAGAACTTCGGTAAACAGAAATAATATCCTGTACAGTACTTTTTGACTGATTTAATGTTTCAGCAATTTTTCGTACACTGATTCCACACTTTCAAGCACCAACAATTTCTCCACGCTCAAAAATGGAGAGCTCTTTTCGTTTGGTAATTTTATTTATTGATTCGAAACTTTTAGAAGATATAATTTAGCGTGTTGCAAAGTCGAAGTAAAGTAAATGCAAGGAAAAAAAAGAATAATGAAATCAACAAAGTCATTATGGAGAAAATCTAATTCAAACAGTGTTATTTGCAAAACGACTGGGGATCACATGATGTCCGGTGACTTTTGATAGGCCACTGTACATGTATGTAGCCACGTCTCTGATATTGTAACGGTAACTTTAAACGTAATTAAATTTATCGCATAAAAAGGCAAATAAAAAACTTAAAATGAAGGCTGGCTTCTTATTGACTTGTCACTCTAATAAATTGGCAAAATTTTATTAAAATGCCAAATATTGCGACATTTCGATCATTGTTGGAGATGTTCGAAATACTGAACGAACTTTCTACAGCGCATTCATCAATTTTAGTAGCGCAATCGGAATATTTTGCTATTGCTCTTTCTGATGCGTGGATAAAACGAGAGCCTAACCAAATATTGAACCGCGCATTTTTGAAAACTTATTAAGGTAATATTTTATACGTTTTAAATTTATCGTTATTAAATTAAAATTAATTTTCACATAAGATACATGTACAGTAACAATATCGATTTGTCAGATTATGGTATGCTAATACTTTTAGATTTATTGGTCGCTGCCGATGAATTGATTCTTGAAGAATATATTCAAGAATATCTTTTGGCGCAACATTCTGAATCCATGTTGAAAATTTGCTTTTATAAATCAAATCGCTTTTCAAACATAATTCCTTTGTCAAACTCCAGGAATTCTGTATAGAGATCACGTCTAAAAATCCGGCTGCAGTTTTTCAATCCAGTGATTTCGCTAATATTCAAGAAAAGCAATCACCACTTTGCTCAAACGAGATGATTTAAATCTTAAAGAGAGAGAAATTTGGGAAAAGGTTATTGAATGGGGAATTGCTCGAGCGTCAGCTTCTAGCAAACATCAATTTATCGATTCCAATAGATCAATGGTCACAAAACGAATTCAATCAACTCAGCTCTACATTCAATAATTGTATACCATTAATTCACTTCTTTCATATAAGCTCTGTTGATTTCTATAACAAAGTATTGCCATACTCAGAAATATTACCAAAGAAACTTTACAAAGATTTGTTACATCATTATTTGGTACCTGGAAGTGAAGAAAAATAAGCTTCGATTCATTCCATTCGTAATTCGCACCATTCAGTATCAACAATACTTTCTCGAAATCAAATCGATAAAATTATGCGATGGATTAAAGGACAAGGTGCGGAAAAAAATTATCCATTTGAATTTAATCTATTATTGCGTGGCAGCCGAGATGGATTTTCTGGTAGTGATTTTCACCGCCTATGTGATAATAAAGGACCAACCATTGTCGTTATACGGTTCAAAGATTCTGATGAAATTATCGGTGGTTACAATCCCATTGAATGGAAAATCTCTTAGTAAATGTTATTAGGGTTATAAAGTAAAGGGTAGCTTTTTATATAAATTTAATTCTGATGACATTAATGGATCTGCTGTGAGGATTATAAATTAAATTTGTTAGTGCATTTTTTAAATTATCGAAAAATTTGTCTAAGGTAACTTATATACTGGGAAAAAGTGAGTTAGACTGCATTATTTACTAATAAAGGGTTCCTTAATGTTCTAAAGTTTTCTGTGACGACTTTTACGTAAATCGACCTTTAACAATGGAAGTCAAAATATTACGAATAGATTTCGAGGAAAATATAATTCATTAACCAATAACTAAAGTGTTCAAAATCAAAGGTTGGAACTAAGTTTCTGCCAACAAAATAATAACAGGTTGGACTTAATTTCTGACAACAAATCAATAGAGAAATTCGAAGTATAGATTTTGATGGAGAAGTTTCTCCACTGCTTGTACGGAAGACAGGATTTGAAGATAATCAAGGTTGGTTTACAGGATTATTTTATGATTAAGCAATATCATTCTTGTTATTGGTTCGTGTGATTCCAGTTGTTCCGATTTAAGCATCGGTGACTTCACAAATATAATTACAAGAGAAAATTCATAATCAAACACAAAAGAGAATACAAAGAAGATACAGTGGAAATACAAAAGAAAATACTAACAATGTACATGTATATAAAAATGACAACGATTATCTCTCAACCAATTCACGCATTTCATTCAGTTGGAAGCAAATACACATCATAGCGATGAATTTACTAAATGTAAATGAGTATACTGCAATGAGAGTTTAGTCATAACATTCATGCTTGTAGGGAATGTGACTATTGTGCGTTGCGATGACCGTTTCACATATCAAAAACGAACTTATAACGATGAATTGCGGAGATAAAGATATGGACAATCTAATAAAAGATGCAACAAAAGGGAATGATTATGATTTATTTGAATGGAGGATTTACCAATTTTGAATATCTTGCAAAAAGAGGTTTAGGGTCAATTTATAAAGCAATCTGGTTGGATTCATACCTGACGAAACCACTCGCAAGTAATTTTGTTTTGACGAATTGATAAATCTTATGACTATTATTACACCTAACCAGTCTATTAGATTTCAAAGATGTACAGGCTGAACAAATTTGTGAAAGATTAGATTGAAGTTTACTCGAGGTTGTGGCTTCTCTACTAATTTCTAAAGGTGTTGTACCATTAACTGCGGTTACTATGGGCGGAAAGGTACCTTTATTTTATTTTTTGTCAAAACAATATTTTTTTTGAAAGAGTTGCTCTATGTTTAAAATATTTTCTTTTAAAAAATCTAAAGATTATGTGAAACTATAGGTTACTATTTTTGTCTAAAATAAAAAATAAATTAAAAATTTTTATAGAGAATTTTTGACATTCCGGCAATTTAATGCAGGGTGCGTTAAATGAAAATCAGAAGTATTATTAAGCATGTACATACAGTAATACAGCAAAAAAAAGTGTCAGATCATGTGATTTTTTAAGGGGTAAACCAATCAAATCGCAAGATAATCAATATAACGATAATAGTTATTAATTATAATTAAGATTAGGATTAGAATTGTAGGATTATATTCCACGTGATATTATAACAGTATAACATTATAAAGCACCACTATAAATACTATCAAGTAAAATTTTGCAAGGAACATTTTTTGTTAGAACAAAAATAGACAAAATTTCGAGATACAAGCTATTTTTCAAAAATAAACGTTTGTTTTGAATTTTTTCCGTTACACATTAGTCTTGCGATTTGATTGGTTTATCCCTTAAAAATCACATGATCCGACACTTTTTTTTGGCTAGGGTATTAAAATTGAAATAATAACGATGTACTCGATTTTTACCCTGATGTGCATAGCAATCAATCTAACAAATAAAGAAAATTGTTTTTCAATTGGAGTGGAACCCTGTACTCATGCTGAGAACCTAAATTTCGAGCATTGCTTATAATAGCAGTGTTATGTTATTTAAGTGTGTATAAAACATAATAAATATGTAACAAACTGTTGTGATTCAATTGTGATTTTTTAATTAATAAAAAAATTTTCTTTGTTCATTAAATACAGAATACATGTATACTTTATACTGTTCAACAAGTTTAGAAATCGATGAATGGAGCAAACCATCTAAAATCATTAACTATCATTATACATGTATGATTTTTATACTGTACATGTACATGTACATATACATGTATAAGCGAATTTGGGAAATATCCCGGTTACACACATAACGATCATTTAGAATTTGTAGTGTATATTAATAAGGGACCTGAATTTTCATTTGTTTTTATATCTATGATGTATCAATTTAGATAAAACAACTAGTTGGCGATTTCTTATAATTCTATTTATTCATATAATAAAAAATTCTGAAAAGTCGCAGGAGACACACAGATAGAAAGACCGTTATAATAATAAATTTTTTGTGGATTGCTAAATGAATTTTGGAATTCCTAGTGATTTTTTGAGGTACATACGTAATTGATAACCCGTTAGAAAAACTAAATTTTTTCTAACTGTGCACGCAATGTCGAAATAACGTTGATATCATAAATTCTAAAAAGTTATGTTTGATAATTTAATTTTTGGAAATATTTATTTCTGCCTTAACAACGAGTGTGATTATAGTTAGTTCAGAAAATATCATCTAATAGATACTGTAATAATTTAAAATTAAAGCATATTACAATAATCAAAGATTATATTACTATTTATCAACATATATTATCATTACATCATTATTAAAACAGAATAATTTGAACAAACTACATGCAATTGTTGTGATTTAATAAATATAAAAATTGGGGTGCCCGGGTTTATTAGGTTTGACAAAATTAGTACAGAACCCACTGTTGCAAATAACATCGTTCGCGCAATCTTGTTTACTATCACATGGGTCGCCGTCATTACAATCGTGTCTACCAGCACCAGGAGTACAACGTTTCGATAAGACCCTTTCATTGAGAGGAGATGACAAGACCATTGCTGTGTACATGATGCTAATGAGAATAGACCAGATAATAAATTTCATAGTTCAGCTATACTTTTGCATAAAATAGTAGATATGTGTTGATGTTGTCAGATAGCTTTTTGTCTCTCTCAAGCAAACAAAATTTTCAGCCTATACATATATATATATATATATATCTTACATATGTGGTTATAGGATAACGATAAATTGTCTATCCTAATTAACTGCACTCAGATTTCCTTTTCCGTAATATATTGGAATTCTTCTTTTTCCGTAAATACATATTTTAATTGCTTCCTTTTCCGTAATATATTGGAATTTTTCTTTTTCTGGAAATAAACACACTTTTAAATTGTATTTTTTCTGTAAATATTCAACTCTTTTTAGTTAGAAAGTTTAGAGTGCCATATCATTATCGAAGATTTTTGGATCTGAACACAAAGATTCATTTCTAGTTAGAATATTCGGAAAATCTTTCTGTTTAAAGACGTAATTATTATAAATTATTGATTGACACATTAAGTGATAGCGATAGCTAATAAAGTTTATAGGGAGTAAGCAACAAGCAAGAAAAAACAAATAAGACAATAAACCAATGGAAACAATCAGTATTCTAGAATAATGTCATTGTAAACATACAGTAGATAGACATAAAATAACATAATTTGAATCCAGTTTTCAAATGTTTTCATTATACATGTATTCGTTCGTCAATAGATAACGATAAAGTGGGATTATTGTATCAAGCCGTATTTATATGGTGGTTTATAATGAGTGATAAATAAAGTGACGTTTATGATGAAATTCTCAAGGAAAGCTTTTTTTATTCTTATTTAATCTATTGATTAGTTCTAATAATGGGGGCCATTTCTACGGCTTTAGAAGCCAATCTCATATGACATGTGATACATAAATAGAAATACGCAAAATCAAGTTGGGATGGAACTGTTTTACGTTAATTAAAGACGAAAATACGCTCCCAAGATATTGATTGAAAAATTAAAACTTAAATATTCAGTGATTCTTGGATCGATATCTCGACATAATCCCATTTGGACAAATTTTAAGTTCTTTCTTTGTACGTTTTTACAAAAAATTTCATAATTTAGATCTTGTATAGTTTTTTTCTCAATTTAATTATTGCATTAAAATTCATTACATTATTATTATAGTTATCCTTTTCTTTATGAAAAATTCCTATTAGAATTTTACTTTTAATGACCCGCGAAAATCAGTGATAAACGATTTGTAATTTAATGACAAATTTGTATATTTTAATATAGAATAACTCTCGAAAGTCAGAGAGACAGGCAATATATGGTTTGAAGGAAACAACTAATAAAATTAACTCTTGCCTAAACTACGACTCAACTTTATTTCTTTTACGTCAAAACGAAATTGATAGCTTTATTTCCTTTATGTTTAATTGAATCGATTGCTTCTTTACTTGAAACTTGAGCTTTTACTTTTGGTTACATAATCACCGTGAAAGATTAGAACAGGAGACCTTTAGAACCCCAGTACCACATTATTCAGTCAAGCTCTCGACCCTTGTTGCGTCTACAATTCATCAGTCAACCTAACTTCTGAATTGAGTGTGACAGTACAACGACAACAATTATCTCGTTTTTTTACAATCATCTCAAGGTGGAATCAAGTACTCATCAATGTAATAAATATGACGCTTGTCAAGAATGGAAATAACGCGATGAGTGTTTCGTTCACAATACTTACGTTTTTGAACATCACTAACGAATTTATAGTGATAGATTGTCTAGGGTATTGGCAATATAACAAAAAGAATCCACTCGAATAATTGATTTTTTAATACGTTTTGTTACATACTATTTGAAAAATTTACTAACGTTGAATAACTTGCAAAAAGTAGGTTTTAAGTCAATTATAAAACAACCCGGTTCTATGGATCATTACTTTATTCTGATGAAAAAAATTTAAACGAAGTGAAGAAATAGAAGTTATGTTGAACTTATTGCACAATCAAAATAAGAATTATACATGAGGTAAAAAATGAAAATTTCTAAAAGGAAAGTTGCTTTTTGTTCTAACTCAATCAATTTTTCAAAAATAAAATCATACTGTTCTAAATTTAATTATATAACTTATTATGAAATAACTAAAAATCCTGTTACAAATGAATACCGTAAAGTATCAAAAATATTCTAACCTCCAAAAATAAGAAACCGTCTCAAAGTCTTGAAAAATTTGATAAGCTGTCACTTTTTTAATAATCAATTTTTCCAAAAAAAGGTAAATCTGAATTTCACATAAAAAATTTGGTAACTTTGGGATGTGATATATTGATGTCCAACTGTCAATCTGGACGAAAATAGATCTATTTAACCTAGTTTAAACAAATAGTTTCATTTTTGCCCAGGTTGGATGGTTAAATGCCAAGATATCATATCTCAAATTTTTAAATTTGATAATTCAGATTTTTTATTTATATCATTATGCAAATCTCCATATTAATTTGTAAATTGGTATCATAGTTCATAGCAGCAACTTTGAACTTACCTGCTAAATTAGCAGTAATAAATTGAATATTTGAAATATTTAAACTAAGAGAAATTAAGTATTTGGAAAGGATCCGAAAATAAGCAATCTTTAAAAATTTGATTTTAAATTAATAAATTATTACTATTATTTAATATTTTAGATTTTTATAAAATTCTCCAATTTTGTTAATTTTTTAATTTTTACAAGCCGTAAATATTATAATTGATAGATAGATATTCTTTAAATAAATTTCAAAATAATTTATTATTATTTGATCAGAAAACTACAGTGCGGGACACTTAAAGACGCCAATAAAACAAACCATCTTTAAACAGTAAAGGATAATCATACAAAGGTGATGCAAAAAAAAGAAGGCCGCTATTTTGTAGTAAATTGGCCTAGCTACAAAATAATCACCCATTTTTGAATAGTATTCGTTAAAAATGTCCAAGTTTCATATGATCGATACATATCCAAAGTAATAACGTGATTAGTGATCGTCCAATAAAATTGGATTTTGATTTTATTTTTTGCGTTTGTCATGTTTCATTGGACCACGTTTTCAAAATCCGAAACCGTTCTTCGTGGGTATAATATTATTACTGTATAACACGTGTCTTTTTGAGCACGTGATTTTTCGACAAGTATGTAAAAATCGATTTTTTGGCTTATTTAAATTTGATTTGATGGGAAAAGTCACGTGATTAACGTCTTTAAGTGTACTTATATTATTACTTTCAAAATAATAAAGTAACTTTATAGAGATTATTTAATAAGAACAATTTTTTTAAATATATTTGATAATATATTGTGAATTTAATAATATAAGCTATTAAAATGTTAAAAGATTATGAGATATATTATGAACTAATAATAAAGTAGTAGTTCTCGAAAGAACTACTGCGGAAACCTTTAGGATTAATTGAGAACTCCTCTTTTCTTAAATCATTCAGTCAGAATCTCTACCCTTGTATTGTGACTTATTTCTATTGGATTCAATATTTTTCAAGAGAAGCATAACAGGTATACATGTATGATTACCATAATTCGTATTTCAACAATCACCAAGCATAATCACCCACATTTTTCAGCACAATTATTCACATTTTTCAGTACAATAGTCTGTATATTTCAGCATAATCATTCATACTTTTCAGCACTATTGCTCACAATGTTCAACACAGTCCTTTCTTTAATTGTATTTTATTATTTTGTGATTTTATCAATGGAATAAGAATTATATAACAATAAATAGTATTAAAATAGTATTTTTTTTAGAAAAAGCTACAAAAAATGAATATAAAGAATGGCTTTCAGGACTTTAAAAAAGCAAAAATAAACTTGCGTACAAATTTTTCTCCAAGTATTAACGCATTAGTTAGATCCTTTGGATTGATTAGTTTAAAGGCTTTTGGTTAGAAAAAAAATTAGAATGATTAGTAGCTAGCAAACTTAATTCTCTTTTCTTCTCTCTATCTTTCCTATACACTAACTTCTATTTCACAAATTCCCACGTCTCAAATAATTCCAAAACTCTCTCAATTATCACAATCCAAATATTACCATTCTCTTGCATTCTTTCTTTTAAAATGCATATACAGAACAAACTCCATAGATATTGGTACAGGAATTAGATTTAATAAGTATAATCAGTCTGATCACTATCTTCCAACCCTAGTCACAGACAAAATTTACCAAAGCCTACCCATTTATTCTTGCCCTATGACAGTACTTTCTTTATAGTTAAATTAAGAAAAAGCATTCAAAAATTTATTATGTTGAGAATTTATTAATAATTTCATCATAGAGAGAATTTTTATTATAATAATTTTGAAATTTACTAGCTTAATTAGTCTTTACTATAACTTTAACTGTAAAGATATATATACATGTATATGTAATCAAAGTTTGAATTCCCACATACATAACTAATGGACAAGTATATAATAATAGCGATCATTTCAACCAATTCACGTACTTTATCCAGTGAACTCTAAGATAAGAATGAATCTAGACAATGTAGTGAATGTACTAAATGTCAAAAGAATAGATATTGCGATGAGTATTTAGTTCATAGTATTCATAATTGTAATAAATATTTCAATTGTCAAGAATATAGTATATATACTATATTGATTGTTTTTAATCACAAATACATGTAAATTCATAATGATGAATTTTCTAGCAGAGATAAAAATATTGGCAATCTAATAAAAGAATGTCACAAATTAATTATAAATATGAAAATATAATCGAATTACTATTAGAAGTTTATGAAAAATGTGATGAAATTGACAAAGCAATCTTATCTTGCTTTATGTACAAAGATGATTTTATTTATGAAATTATTTATGAGAGTTCTGTAGAAGTCTCTGCCACTGAAATATTTTAATACATCTATCAATAACTCAGTCCTAATTGAAGATAACAGCTTGCTCACTTGGATTATATTAATGTAAAATTCTGTTAAGAATATCTAATCTCTTGTGATAATA